CTACTTTGTTTGCCAATCAGCACGCGACAATACGCTGTTCAAACTATTGAACGAAATTGTGTGGACTGTCGATAAGGTGGGCATTTTTAATTTTAATTATAAATTATAAGTTAAAAAAGAACATAAGAGGCAGAGAAAACGTAAATATAAGTATTGAACTGTTTTTGTATGGTATTTATGATCTATTTGAATGACACAGCTTTGCAAGCAAACAACATCAGTTCAATGCTTAATTGAATGCCACCTTTAAAACTAAAAATAGTTTGTTTGATGAAGACGAAAGACAAATTTCATTGTTGTCATCATGATCCCATAGAGAAATAGGATATTGTTCGAGTGATATGAAGGTCGATCGTTTTATATATAATGCTCATAAGTGTGCCTTTTGGCTTTGTTCGTAATATTGCTTGGAGTTGACCTAGATTTAAATTAAAATCCTTGAACAAAACCAAGACAAATAAGATCCATAAGGGTCGGCATCTTCTGCTTCATCGTATGTCGTCGATGAGGCAGAAAACGCTCACACTTCCGGTACACATGGTCCTATTTTTCCTGTTTTATATCAATGGTATTGATGTGAATCTTTCCTTTGTTCATATTTTGCCCTAGTTTTATCGATTTTGAGTACGAAATATGGTTTTGTTGACATTTCGGTATTCTCTTGTTTGTTTATTTCTCTTATAAAATGTGATAGCTAGAATATTTAGTTTCAAGAACTAACATGTTAAAACTTTAATAATGAGTTTTGAATCACATGGCAAACATTTCAAACGTAGTAAAGAACCACTTCCAATTAAATTGTATTTATTTAAATAGCATAATTCCTGAACAATGACATGCTTCAGAATTCAGAGTAAACAGAGAAACCGGCTTTGACACGTATGCTTTAACATTAAATGGGACGGTCTTAAACAAATATTTGTTCTGCTGGGAACTTGCAAATTCAAAAGCGGCAAAACACACAAAGGCGTGAAGCAGTATGATTGTCTTTATAAATACTTACGTCATAAACTGTTCAGCAATTTAATTAAAGATTTTGTACTTTTCGAAAATCGAGTTAAAACTTTGATTTTTTCATAGTTTTAATTGCGGGACTGCAAAGTTGGAACCTTGTTGGTGTTATTGGAGTGATGCTATCATCAATTTCCAAAGTGCTCTATGTAAACGTCAATGAGGGTTTTAAACATATATAAAATTACGTCCTGATATATTGGGTGTTAATTATCTTAATTAGTGTTTTGTTAATTGCCTAAGCTGTGGTAATTTGTTGTCAAACCAACTATCTTGATTACACTAGACAACAAATTGTGTTCCTTTTCATTACTCAAAATAGAACAGTTTAACAAAATAACAAAAATTCTAACAGAAATATAAAGGCATTAATAAATTTACGTTTCCGTTGTACAGCCCTTGGACAATTATAAAAACTATAAGCCTTGTTATAAATTGATAATAGAAAAACCTATTACACGTGAATTGTTTCCAAATGGGAATTGTTCGGGTGTTTACGTCATACAGTTGTAGAGTGATCAATAGCCAATCATTGCATGGCGTCACAATATCAAATGTTGATTGGGATTCCTGAACGCTGCCGAAGAGTAATAATAAAAATGAGACCCTCGAATCTATTGTCGGTACGCGAAGTGGCAAAGAAAACAAAAGGGCATTATATCGAAGTTTTAATGTAATGCATATAACAATCTCTAGCTACTCTTGGAAACATGAGCATTCCATGCCTGCCATTATTTTAAGCTGTAATTTCTTACATTTTCATTTTTTGGCATTGTGGACATGTGTTAAAGGGGCTGGTCGGGGAAAAAATGTCATATTTGCTAAAATGGCATACACCTGTTTAAAATACCTTCTTATGAAATATACCGATTCAAATATTGCTGAAATTCACTCCCTAAGAGTAAAAATTATAATTATATTAAAGAAATCCTAAATCGTCACCTGACAGTCTAAAACTCTCAATTGACCCAGATCAGTGATGTAATTTTACCGCATGCGCGTCATCAACAAGGCCAAATGTAAACATCGCGGCGAAAGAAAAAGATGCATGCAAAAGTCATGACAGGCACGAGGTATCAATACCGTTATATATAACAACAACATATAGGTAGGAATACTACACTTGCATCATACATGACATTTGAAAACAATTATTTACGTATAGTATTGATGTCTTGTCCGCTAGTTGAGTCCGACATGGCTGATGGACGGCGTACTATTGCTGTTAATTTCACTGCCTCACTTTCGAAATAACCATGTGTCATATATAAATAGATCTGCGCTAAATTTACACGGGGCTTCCCCGAGATTCAGTGGTCAAAACTGGACATTGCAAGCAGATCTCGACCATCATATTGCCGTGGTATAACTTTAGGAAGGCCAGAGAACGCATTTAGACCCATTTATTTTGTAATTTTTTTCCCCGACCAGCCCCTTAAATCTCCGGTTGCTAGTCTACCAGCACAGATTTGAGGGAACACAATGCGTCTTTATAGCGTTGTCCTTTTCACAAGGAAATGTTAAGTATTGCTGTACTAGTACTGAGAGCAACTGAACCCGACCGAATACATGTATGTCAAGAGGTCGCGTAGCGTAGCAGTATAGGGCTAAATGCTATAAACACATATTACTGCTTCCACAAGTCGGCAGTACTGCTCGCTTCAATGTGATGCTCTCATCGATTCCAAAGTATATTTTTTATAGAATTGCAGTGAACAGTTGCTTTCGATACCTACTAATGATTATATCTTTCCTAGTTTTTTCTTGTGTTTCTTGTTTTATCTAATATGTTATTAACTGCCATTTGGTTCAGCTGTAGGTGTTGCATGCCATCTTCAAACTAGAAAACACATCGCCAGAGTTACACTAAATACTAGAATGCTTATCATCGACGGACGGAAACCTTTAGCTTATCAGATGGAGTGTTTTGAATATGCTTACTGCTTTTTTTGTTTTTGTTGTTGTTGTTTTTGTTGTTGTTGTTTTTGTTTTGTTTATTTGTTTTGCAGTTTAACAACTTCTAGATCACAGAAAATACATGTTACAATCCCTTACTTGTGCTCGTTTATACATATATTCCCCTTTTAAGTAGCAATCACAATTATTTGTTACAATAGAACAATATCACAACCGTGAAAAGTATCAGGCTTCTATGCCTTAGTTGTCGCCTGCTTCACTCATTCGGAGCTCAGGTGTGGTGTCTCTTGCTCATTTCTCTGAAGAGGTTCCGAATAATGGAAATATGACCAGAGGAGCTCAACCTCGAGAGGGGGATATAATGTTGTATTTTCTCTTCATGTGATCAGTATAATCTGATCAGACCTGCAGATATATAAAGATAGTTGAGGTTTAATAATAGGTACATTTTGTAACAAGGGTTTGAGGATATTCCTTGAGTATTTCCGCCGCGGGATTATAAAACCTAGAAGTGAACCTCTGTTTCTGAGGATCAAAACAAAATTGACATTTACGTTCTGTAAGAGGTACTTCTGTGTCGGCGGCTTGCTAAAACAGCCAGTCTGCCATAAACGGAACACTGTTGCATTTTGATTTTTGTTAGCAAGCTCCGGTAGGCTCCAGGCATGTATAGCTGAACAAAATACGTACGCTGGTCTCAGATTCTATTTTAGCTCCGTTGCTTATATTCGTTCACAAGTCCTTACATAAAATTACATATTCGTCTCTATATGATCGTAATAGTTTTTATATTATGAAGTGCAGTCAACGAAACCAGTTTTATTCTATTGAGCTTCCAAAAAGGATTAACATGAAACCGTTTACAAATGTATAACAACGCATATGTTTCCAAATAGAATACAAAATGAAAGCTGAATGTTAACCAATCGAATTTATTATTCTTTGTAGTGTTGAAGTGGCCCAGTCCTTCCTTTGAAGATAGAAGTCGACCACAACAACATATTTTCCTGTAAGTATTAAACTTAAATAATTAAAGTGGTTACTGTCTGTTCCCATTGTAAAATGTTACCTATGTGTTACTTTGTAGGTAGAAAAGCTGTTCTTGAACGGAATCGGTCGAAACAATTTTATAGCAACTTCATCTGACGATGTCTTGATTCGTTCTGCTAATAACCCATGTATATGATTATTTTTTAGTGTAACTGTTGTTTCTTTAATCCTAGACCCGATGTATAACCCTGAAAATGTGATTTTCTAAAACAAACAACAACTTTGAATTAAAAATCTGGGGTAATTTAAAAAATGGATATGCCAATATTTCAACGAAGAATGTCTATGCTTTGGAGATCATGTACATGTACTTTAAAGAAACGCCCCAAAAATCTGTACAGTGTCATATCGAAAAGACAGTAATTTTACAACATTACTTTCGAAACGCTGCGAGAGTCTACAAGAGAAAAGGCACAACACGTTTATGTATGATGTCAGACATCTTTTATTGTCCGTTTCTATGGCGACAGCTTGTCGCGTTCTAATACATTCGCACTTAGTGTCAAATCATCTACTGATAAAAACATTTCCTCTATCAATTAACCGTGTCGTATATCTACATCATTTCCGAAATAGACATGGAATGACGCGCAAACGGGCAATGCTATCAACTTTGAATGCATATAATTTCCAGTATCACACCATGATGCTATTGTTAATATTCCACACAGATGCATTCTGAGATAGAGAGATTCCAGAGCAGACATTTCTTATGAATACATGAGGAACGTGGTGAGACGCTTTATACACATATATGCTAAAATATTATTTGTACACTGCTCTTCTATAGTTCTAAACCCTCATACCTCCTTACAGGACAGCAAGCTCTGTTTACTCAGAGAAAATGACACAACAAGGTATTGGCGGAACATGGCTCATCTCTTGGATGGCCGAAAGATTTTGGAATACAATTTCATTGGTCAAGTCTAAACCACGTGATAGCTGACCCCTGTTTCAGCAGGTGAACCCCACAGGGGGACAGAAAATTTTGCAACCGCACGCCATCTTTGCTTTTCTGAACGATAAACAAAAGATACAAGTAATTTGACCTTTTATACGGCAAAATTTGTCTAACCCTCCCACCGCACCCCCTTTTCAGATTATATATGTTAAGATGTTTCCATGTTGTTTCACTTTTATGATGTCTGTTGGCGCTTAATGTATAGGCCGCAACTTTACTCATAAAAATGCTATCTGAAGATATTTTAATCCTAAAATATGTTGAAAAGCTGTTCTTGCAACGGAATCGGTCGAGACAATTTTATAGCAATTTCATCTGACGATGCCTTGATTCGTTCTGCTAATAACCCGTGTATATGATTATTTTTCATTAAAGTGTAACTGTTGTTTCTCTAATCCTAGACCCTATGTATAACCTTGAAATGTGATTTTCTAGAACAAACAACAACTTTGAATTAAACATATGGGGTAATTTAAAAAATGGATATGCAAAGATTTCAACGAAGAATGTTTATGCGTTGGAGATCATGTACATGTACTTTAAAGAAACGCCCCAAAAATACAGCGTACAGCGTCATATCGAAAAGACAGTAATTTTACAACATTATTTTCGAAACGCTGCGAGAGTCTACAAGTGAAAAGGCACAACACGTTTATGTATGATGTCAGACATCTTTTATTGTCCGTTTCCATGGCGACAGCTTGTCGCGTTCTAATACATTCGCACTTAGTGTCAAATCATCTACTGATAAAAACATTTCATCTATCAATTACCCGTGTTGTATTTCAACATCATTTCCGAAATAGACATGGAATGACGCGCAAACGGACAATGCTATCAACTTTGAATGCATATAATTTCCAGTATCACACCATGATGCTATTGTTAATATTCCACACAGCATGCATTCTGAGATAGAGTGATTCCAGAGCAGATATTTCTTATTAATACATGAGGAACGTAGTGAAACGCTTTATACACATATATGCTAAAATATTCTATGTTTATGAATACCATATGAATAGCGTCTGATTGAGGCGAGGGTGTTTGTACTTTGTATAACACCTCAAAGTAGCTCCATTCGGAAGACGGAATTTCCCTTTGGCCTTTTGGGTCTTTTTACAAGCTCTAGCTTTGTTTCACAAACATTCATGAGCTTGAGAATATCCTTAATTTAGCAATGATTTCCCTACGGGAAATTTAGAAAAAAAAGGAAAAACATCTCTTAATTATAATGGTTCAGCAAACCAGCGCTACACAAATCCGTTCGTTTACACGATATTTTAACCACTCTAGTGCATAAAAGCGGATGAACTTTGTGTTAAAGTACATTTTATACAAATGTATGGCAAACACAACATAATCTACGAACAAAAAATAACGCGTGTAAGATAATAAAATAATATATATGCAAATTAATTGCATTTTTCCAATGAAAACAAGTTGGTAATTTATGAAAAATCATTGCATGGATCTGGGTGTGGGTGTTTCAACATTGGTCCCGTATAAGGTCTATAAAATATAAATATTTTAAATCCAATTGATTTGCATTTCACTTATTTGCTTTAGCCTTATCTTTGTCAGCCCAATAAAAGTAGTCAAATAAAATATGTAGCCTAAATTAAAATGACCAAAGTTGTGCATTGTTCGTTTCCATGGCTTCATACATTATGTACCACACAGCGACGATTGATGCACGTGTTCGATAGGTACAATTACACCGAATACCATGGTCGTCCGAAAAAGGACTTTTGCAACATTTAACGACGTTATATCTAATAGCTGAAATATGTTGTAGAAAACAAAGGTTGATACCTAGGTAACAATAATTAGATAGACTTTTGTTACAGCGTTGAGACAGACGTCGACAGAGTTTACTTTTATTACATTAATTGTAACGGTAATTAGAAAAATGTTATTCTTTTGTATTTCATTTGTTTACCTACATAGAGATTTCTGACCTCTGTTCAACGATTCCACTTTTTACATGTATTTACTTTACTGGCTGTGAGCTTTAAGTTATACTCGTTAACGTGTTCACAACCATCCCCGATACTCTATGGGGCTCACTTTCACTTTTGCTATCTGCACCCCTTCGATATAGGTCATAACAAAAATGTAGGCGACATGTGAACCATCCTGTGAAAGAGACAAGAAGACTAGTTTGATCCTTTGATGTTTATGGTCGCATAACGTTAGAATTTACTGGCTTTAAAGCCGGGTGTCGCTCTTCTGTAATCTTTAAAGAATAGTTATCAGCCTATCGATTGGTTAGTATTTTTACCTGACACAAATCAAATAGCTAGCCTTGTGCCCTCATTTTCGCTGACATATCCCATGGGTGCAGAGAGCGAAAGTGAGCGTAAGCCCTGGAGTATCGAGGACAGTGTACGACATACATATGTAATACTGTAAGTAAACTGACAATGACGTCATTTCCTGTTTCGGATAAGGGACTATTTTCGGTTTAATAATATTGTAGAGTGGCAAACTCCTTATTGTGACAAATAACAAATATTTTAATATTCTTTCACCTAATAATGGTATTGGTAGAAACGTTTGCACAACTTATTGAGGGTCCGTTCCCTTTACATGTTTGCACTGTGCATGTTAATGAAGAATGGCTGTTAAGGTATAAAGACTGATATCACTCAGTAAAGAACAGAAAAGTAATAGGGGTAAATATGGACAGCTAAGGGGAAAAGAGTTGATTTTATCACAAACTATTGCACAGATGTAAGTATGTAGGTGTTGTCCTCAGCCGGGAGCAATACAATTCACCATCACATCGAAAGAAAAATCATTAAACAGGTTGCCCTTAACCATTTATGAGTGTGTTTCTAGAAACTCTAGAATGTTTGGTATAGCAAAAAATAAAATTACATGTTCATTAACATATACATGACATTCTCCAAGATGCAGGCTAACGTTTTGTAGAGGGCAGTATTTTATGTGCGATATTAATGTCAAAGTTTGTCAGGAGAATGCATATGTTACTAAAACTANGGGGGGGGGGGGGGGGGGGGGGGGATATGGATTACGTCAAATTCCAGCTTATTCCGAAATCGGATATGTCTGTTAGAAGGAAAAAGGGACATTGTTGAAATGTCTATTAAGTGAAATTGTATAGTATACTAGCGTTCTTTAGAGGGGATAGAAGGGGACGGATTCGTTTTATATTACATATAAAAATACTTTAAGTATTATACGACTTTGTATTCTGTCAATGCAGGTTTAAAGGGCTTGATTTCTGGCGTCGACTAAACCTGTGATTGAGTGTGTAAGTGGATTTTTTTTCTAGCAATTCAATGCTAGTTTTTCAAATACCAACCCAAACAAAACATCCGTATCGAAGAATAGGTAATATAAAGGTACTATTTATTTTTAGTATGTATCTATTAAGTATTTTTGTAGTTTACGAATAGCTTTTATTTATTTTGATGCTTCAAAACAGATATTTGCGATGTATTATAGTCGATTAAAAAAATCTGCATTTAGATTGATTTGCAGATGGTTTTTTTATCATTGTCAGAAATGTCAATTTTCGTGTCGTCAAATGACACCTGAGCGTTAGGTAAAATGTGGGACGGTAGGACGGTAGGACATATTGTTGAATTACCGACAGTAACATCTGTTCTTTAAAATATCGATTAGATTATTTTTACTTATTATAATGTTGACCTGACTATGAACTTTCTATAAAACATTTTATATAACCGACTTAATGATGTCAAATTAATTATTAAAGACATCATGAACACTGTTACAATGGATACAATTACTGCGCTATATTCAATGTGTAAACTGACCATCTGGCGATAAACTGTTATGTGTACTGTATATAGGTGGTTATTATACGTTTGTTCATGGATGTCGTAAGAATTGACGTATTGTCTTAAATGATACCTTATTGGCAATCAAATCCTCAACAGCGCATGCTTATTGCGGGCATATATTAGTGCTTTCGTGTTCAGGTACGAGTGGAAAGTTTAGCTATT